TGTTCTCAGTCATTTTAGAATCTTCTATGGCTCTGTTCATCATTCTGGACACCTTTAAAATTTCTTATTTTTGATTTGTATTAACAGCCTCTTAGTGTCCTATTAATTATATAAAAGCTGTGAATTTGAACAGTTGTTTATGATTGTTGAAAACAGTTGAAAACAGTATATATACATATACTACCTGTGCCCAGTTACTGAACACTTGTCCATTTCCTCCGTAGGTGACGAGCTCCTGTGGAAACTGAGCAGTGAGAGATGTGAGTAAGTGATTCAGATGATTGTACAGATGCCAGTGTTTCACACACAGAGCCCAACTGCAGGATTTTCTCCCAGAAAAATATCATTAAGGTCAGTGTCAAATAACATGAAGTGTGTTCCTGTCAGTGCAGGTAACATTGAGAGGGGTGTACATGTGTGTGCTTATGCACACCTGAGCTACAGCAGGATCCAGATTGTTCATGATCATGTGCATGATGGCTGCAGCATGACGTGTCTGACAGGGGTACTCATCAATAGGATAGGCCCTGCAACACACACAGATATAGGGTAGGTGTGAGGACCTGTTTTAGACCATTATGCCAAACATACAACCACATCAATATTTAAATCTTTTTACATCGTGAAATATCTCATCAAAAGATTCACACAAATGTATCAGTGAAAACAATAATATGAAAAATATTATAACCCTAATATCCAGGTCACAGATTCACATCCCTTTGTGGTACGCAGCATACCAATAAAGACACATTATATGTCCAAATGAATCCAGACACCCCCTCTAATTAATGAATTCATCACAGGCAGCTTATAATCTCCATGGAAAAACATTAATAGAATGGAATACTCTGGAACACGTGGGTCTAAGGTCACCATGCCTAATGCCAAGCACTGGCTAGATAGGCCTGTCCTGTGCAAACTCTGGAGCCAGAGTATAAAGCCCATTGGGCTGTGGATTGGTGGAACTGTGTTCTCTGAAATCATGGAGCTCCATCCAATACCTTTGAGACAAGCTGGAGTGCAGTTTGTGATCCAGTTCCTGACTTCACTAACGCTCTTGTGGCTGAATGCAATCAAATCCTCACAGCAATCTTCAAACATTTAGTGTAAAGCATTCTCAGAGGAGTAGAGGCTGTTACTGCAGCAAAAAAGGACAATCTCCCTACTAAAACTCTTGCTTTCAGAAGAAACACTGGATGAGCAGGTGTCTACAAACTTTTGGACATATACTGAATTATAAAAGATATTCTAAAGTGTTTATGACATACAGATTAGTCTGTGTATATATACCTCATACGTATTGAAGGGCAGAAACGATACATGTAGATGTGTCCATACTGCCTGAGCTCCTGGGCAAACTCTGGAGCCAGAGTCGAGTGTAGAGCCGGAGGAAAATATCTCAGAGCGTTCCTCAGGGCCAGCTGATGGAGACGGCATGGACCAGGGTTACACTTCAGTTTTCTGACCCATCATGAAATGATGATGTTACATAACCTGCAATCCATTATGCCTTGTTCTCTGTTTGTTATTTGTCGTCTTCCTCTCTCTCTCTCTTTCACGCACACATACACACCCCTTCTTTCTCCATCTGTTTACTTCATCTCTTATCTTCTCTAATTATTGACAGGCCTGTAAACATTGTAGAAAAGCTCCAGAGAATTCTGTATGTTTTTAAGTAGGGTCTGTTAGCTGACCCACAAGTCCTCTGAAAGATTTGAACACCTAACCTTTGGACCCCAAGCTCACTGCACAACTGCAAACGAAATGGCAGAGATAAATGAGTCCATCACGGCTGACTTAAAGTGTCTAAAGTACTTGTTCACTACTGAAACTTATCAAAATAAATAATCAGAGTAATGATGAAAGGCGTTCAATAAAGAACAGTAAGAGGCTAAGCCTTGCACATTGCTTGTTTTTTAAGGACATCTACCTTTTTAAAAGTGCTTTTAGTACATGAGCAAGTTTTCTTGTATGTCCACAAAAATGTAAGTAGAAAATTTGTAATTTCTTTTGCAAAAACTGAAACCTCCATAATGCCCACAAAAGAACTACTTTTGGTTCCTAAAATATCTTTCAATCAGATCAGTGGTCAACACTGTCAATTGCCCAGAGCCACAGTATTTCACATTTTGGCCACATTTTGGTCACTTGTGCTAAATATTTTTTTATTTGTATTTTCCCTTTTAACAAACCACCAGAACAATTTTAATTTTTACACAACCACACCAAGCTTAAATAACAAAATCACTTCTTTTCACTCTTGCATGCACGATACACAGCCTGCTTGGTCAGACATGGAACTGACCAGTTGAGACAGTCTCAGAATTTGTCAGTTGTAACCACTTCTGTATCTAACATGCCAACAATGCCCTCTTTAAGGTAAGTTTAGTATAGGTTATTAACCCCTTACATGGCAAGGTTTATTACACATTTCTATAACCTAAGAATAGCTCAAACAGTTTGCATTGAAGTCCCTGTAGTTACTGAATAATAAGCCTTAGTATGTAATATGCCTGGGATTTTAAGGTGTTAATAAATATTTCCTTTTTCAAAGCAACACCTGTCTGTTTTTTGGTACTGTAGTGTGCTTGTTGTTTGTTATTACAATGAATATGATAAACATGTTTCTTTAATTCTGGCCACAAATTCTTCATTTTGACCACACACTTCATTGGCTTGGTGGCCCAAGTAGCCAGTGCAAAGTCTGATTTCTGTCTACACCTACTTTCAATGGACAGTTCTTTAGAGAATGATTTTGTAAATGAGATCTGAGTGTAAAGAACCTTTTTAAACATTTAGTATGTTTAGTAAAGAATTTCCACATAATGGAAACATTCTAGGAAGAAAACTTAAATGGGTATAAAATGTTTACACTACGTGGGTTTTAAAAAGTTCTTTACACTCACAAATCTCCTCTTCAAACATGGTTCTTAAGGGAAGCAGAAGTGGTTCTTCTAGGGCACTAATCAAAGAACCCATTGTGGCACCTATTTAAAGAGCATAAATGCCCCACACATTTTATCCCCTTGTGATTTTACTGCTTCTCAGCACTCAAACTTTTCTAAAGCCTAAACCAACTTTGGGCCAAATAAGTTTCAATATGTGCTTTTAACAATAGTTTAGAAAAGAAATCTGTCAAATCATTGCAGGTATTTATTCTTCCTATATTTGAATTTCTGAAGTAGGAAAGTAGTGTATTCTAAACTTTTGATTGCTAGTGTAAATGCACACTATACTAATGACATTTTCAGAGTGGCTATTTGCAGTAAAATGTTCTTTTGCATGACTGGTGTCCATTTATAGTGAATAATGAAGTACTCACAGTTAAAGGCTTAAAGCTTCATTATTAGTGAAATATTTGTTGATGTAACAACTCACCCGCTCCTCCTCTGCAGTGAGGTTTGGGGTGCGGACAGGTGCGTGAGGCACATTGGGGTCTCTGCCACGGTTTGGTGGAAGAGGGTTCAGAGGTAAACCCCCACAAAGTTCCTTCAGAGTCGCCATCACTCCAACTAGTAGAGCCGGGAAGGTTGATAGGAATGGCTTGAAAGAAGTGTGAAAGAAAGAAAGATAAAGAGAAAATTATGATCTGTGAGAAGATTATGGATTGTGCGTTCTGACTCAAGAGTCTACTCTCAGACAGATAAGGCTATATAAGCCGCTGTCCTGCAGACCCTGTCCTCCACTCCCCTTCACTTCATAGGCCAGCTGAGGCCGTTCCCCTCCAGCTTCATCCAGTCAGAAACTGAGGATCTGTCACTCAGGTAAATCATTGATTGAAGTGAACATGATGTGGCAAGCACCCAGAACCACAGACCCCTTGTTAATACAGCATGAATTTTTAGCCAGTGACCCAGATACAAAGACCACGTACATTCATATACACACAAATGTCACTGCTCATCAGCACAGCCCCTAAAATTTTGTTTGACGTTATTTAACAGTACATTTAGAGATTTGTTTGACTTTAATTAAATTTTTGAATGGACTTATACATGGCATGCAACATCAACATGTCTATCCTGAAGTCCTGTTAGAAAAATTCATATAAACATAAATCACCTTCAATGCACAGACTGAGTTGAGCTGTCATGGTTGGCTGTTAAAATTCTCCCATAGCCTCAGTACCAACTCTCTTCTACCTGTATGTTATTCATGATGCTTTTTTATGTACTGTAAAACTGAAATTTATATAAAAAGTCATAAAAATTGTTTTAAAAAATGTAGTTACATAGCAAGAAAAGTAATTTTAATCATAATTTCAAGTCAAGTCAGCTTTATTGTCAATACTACAATATGTACAGGACATACAGAGTATTGAAATTGCATTACTCTCAGACCCCATGGTGTAGCAATAACATTAAATAGACAGTAAACAGGAAATATGTGAATTATATAGACACTAAATAAACACTAAACACTAATCGTAAAAATAAACACTAATTGTAGAAAAATAGAATAATAAAAAAATAATATAAATATAAGAAGGTCCCTGAATTTAACAATAAAGTGACATAAGGCACATACAGATTAAGGTGGGTATAAATAGTGCAATTATAAACAGTAGTGCAATTAGAATGAGTTTATGTAGCAGTTAAAGTGATGAGTGTGTAACAGTCCCTGGGAATGTCAGAGTTCAGTATTGGGGAGTAGGGGTCAGGAACCTGTGTTTGGGTCCAAACTTTGTGTGTGGGGGGGGCCAAAGTAGGGAGCGGGAGAATAAGTAGGTGAATTTATGACACTTCACATAGCCAGCGCTCTTTATGTCCATATTGCATAATCCCACCATAAGCACCTGTCTCTCATGATTTGTTTTAGTTCATTCAGGAGTAACTGGCACTATATTGAGATTACATTTCAACTGCAGACGTGTTTACACAATTACCTTCTGCTGAATAAGCAGGTGAATTCACTGCATTTGACAGGAGAGTTAATCAGCTGTTTATTCATGTTCCTAAACTTTTCATCCACCAAAAAAATTGGCCACAACACTGACAGAGTTTCTCACAAAAAGCGCTTTTATTGGGAATGAGCACTCTTTCCAGAAGATAGATGTTTGGAACAGCATTTCTTTTTACATATTCAAAAACAAGAAGTTATTTTACATGGTGGCACATTTCATGAAATGTCATATATACAGACACTAAGTCAAGAAGACATCAAAAAGTTGTTTTCCTGTTGTAGATAAGTCAAAAATTTGTTAATATTACCACAAGAAGATCCAGGCTATTTCAGTCAGGCAGAGAAGCACCCACCAAAGACAAAGCACTCCTTTTCACTCAGAATCATTTCTGCCTTACTTATGCAGAGAAAAATGCTTCCAGCTTGGGCAACCATACTCATAAAAAAAGAAAAGAAAAAAGAAAAAGAGGGGGACGCTGGACCACACCGCATAGTGTGTTTTACCTTCTTCCTACCAACTTGGTTGGACTGTTCTACAATGCAATCTTCTACAAGTGCATTTGCTTGGATATGGCAAACCTGCTTATATCACAACCAAATGTCCTTTACAAACTAGCAAACATCAATAACGCCATGTGACCATACTGTTGGAGGGACTTTACAGAAAGCTGCCAGGGTCAGAACACCTTTCAGCATGGTTCTGAAGTGTGAGACTGGCAAGACTGTGGGTTAAACACGGAAAACTGAGCCACTGTGTGAAGGTGAGACACACAATGAAGAACTAATGCACTTTAATATTTAGTCTCTCCTCAACACTGCCATCAGTATGTGGAATATTGTAAAGCCAACAAACTGTGGAAGAATCTTAAGATTCTTAAGGGTTTCATGAAATACTTTGGAGAAACAAGGTGGGGCGGTTCAAAAACACAGGCTCACCCAGCAACCCTTTGAGCTCACAGAATCTAGCTTTACAGACTAATCATTGAATATTTCAGAAATATTTCTCTTCCTGACCAAAGAGAACATTTCAAGGCCAAACTGGCCAACAGCAGGGCGTTCTCTCAAGACAGCACTGTTGACAATTGACCACTTCAACTCAAATTGTACAAAAAAAAAATATAAAATAATGATAACACTCATAAAAATAATAAAAGTGTTTGATAAGGTGTCTGTCAGCATATGCATGTGTCCATGTGAAGAAAATTTAGAAGAGTAGGGCTCCCATGCTTCCAACTTCGCTCTGTTCCTTAACAAAGATCTCAAAGTACTGGTAGATGATGGTAACAGCCAATAAAATTCCTGTTCCTGAGCCAATGGCTCCCAGGAAATCAGCCATGACTGACAGACCACCAATGCACAGCCCACCAAATGCAGCTGCTGTGGGGATGTACCTGCACAAAGAGAAGGGTTCAAAATGAAATTTTAGAGCGTTTTTTACAGAAGGATTTAAATTTATAAGCAACAGGTGTGTGCTTGAATGAGTGCAGAGACAAACCTGTTGAGCTCGTGTACCATAGATGTTTCTCTGTGTCCCCTCATCACCATCTGCTGTTCCTTGAGTTGTTTGGCCACCTAAAAGAGAAAGATGAAATCTTTTTCCATATAAACAGCACTCCTCCAACATAAAAGCCCCCCACATCTCTGCACTGTTCTAAATAGATCAGTACTTAGGGCAAGGTCTGCTGATGCAGTTCACAATCACAGAGATTACTCAATGCACTTGCAGATGACACATACATCTTTGGCAGATGATCCAGACACTTCAATCCATGTCTTGGAGAAGAAGGCACAGGATCCCAGCATGAATACAATGTAGATGACAGCATGGACCGGATCCTCCAGGACTGAGCCAAACGATTCCGGAGGAGAGAGATAGTAACACAGGCCTCCTACAGGGTAGGCACGAGCTGGACCACCAGATGATGTATCCTGCAAATAACAGAAAAATAAGAGTTATTGTTTTTCCAAATACAACATTGGGTCTATGATATACTTAATCTATTATTGTATTGCACAACTACAGGCAATTTTCAAAGTTTTACTCATATTTGAATGTCTTCTTTGAAAAACACTCAATTTAGCTGATTTTTTCTCTTTAGAGAAGAAAGGTTCTATTATCATAACTAACAACATGTGCTAATGCAAGGAATCTATTAACAGCGAAAGCAAAGAAACTAAGTACCTAAAAAAGATAATTCTCTGCAAGACATTATTCACAAAAAAAGTTACTAATTTCCTCAAAAAATGACTGACCACTACTAGCAGCATGCAATATAATCAGCTATATCCACATATTCTCATTTATGTATAATAGAAAACATAAATGTGCAATATCTAACCGATTTATGTCCCTATAGGCTACTTACAGACCAGGTTCCCAAAAGGTTGACCAGAAAGTTGCCAGAGAAGCGAGTGGAGAGCATCTGAGAGATCACATAGAGGTTGGACACCAGCGCAGACTGTAGGATGATGGGGATGTTGGAGGTGTAGAAGAGTTTGATAGGGTAGGTGTTGTACTGGCCACGGTAACGTGCAGACTTGATCGGTAAATCAACTCTGAATCCCTGACATTGAGAGTGAAAGAAGTAAAATGTATCATTTTTGTCATTTACATCACTTATTCATTTAATCTATCAAATTATACATACATACATACATACATATACATATATATATTATATATATATATATATATATTCACCCTGAAGTGCGACCTATTATAATCTATTTTTATTCAGTATGTAGCATTATGTCTTACTGCTTTCGTCATTATAAATTATCACTGACCTGGAAGTATATAACCACAGCAAAGACAAAGACTGTAGCGATGAGGTTCATGAGGTTTGGCAGGTTTTGCCTGTAGAAAGCCTCTCTCAGAGCTCGCACTTTATCAGTTCGCGTGGCCAGCAAGTGGAACAGCGCAATAATGGCTCCCTCAAATTCAGTACCTTGGCACAGAAAAAACACAAAAATACAGGTGAGCATTCAAATGTATTCATGCACAAGACTATAACACACTAAATGCATCAAGAAGGTACTTGCCCTAGTATATCCCACTCTTGGTAATGTTCTAATACATTGATTCAGAAATAATTGGGAAGGACGTTAACATTGGAAAAAAAAATCTGCAAATACCAGTCCCAAAACACACACACCATATATATATGCTCACTTGTGGTTTTAATTAGTTTGTGTGGACTTTTGTTAAATTAGTGGATACTTTACCAAAAAGTATAAACTCTGAGGACAGGCCTCTTTATGGTTACATACAACCCATTTTGTTTTGGTCAACACTGAGGTGGAAATACTATGGCATTCTAAATGTGTACCTCTGCCTGTGTTGACTGTTGTTGGGCTGAAAGCTTTCCATACAATGGTCTCGCAGATGTTGGTGGCGATGAAGAGAGAGATGCCTGAGCCCAAGCCATAGCCCTTTTGGAGAAGCTCATCCAGCAGCAGCACTATTAAACCAGCCACAAACAACTACAAAAGAGAAATACAGCCTGAGTCACATTCTATTTATCCAAATTCTTTATACTGTCAGTCAATAACAAGTTAACGTGATACTGGATGTATCCAATTATTAAGATAACAGTAGTAAAGGCATCTGATAGCCAACACAGCATGTCACTCTTCATAACTAAGATGCATGTTTGTTAACTCACCTGAATGATGATGAGGAGACAGATTCCAGCACCCATCTCTGAGGGGTCTCCATACATGCCTGTCATCACATACACGATAGCCTGGCCAATGGTGATGATCATTCCAAACACTACAAACAAATACACAAATACTTGATTAGCATTTTCCTCGGTCTATATAGCCATATCCTGTTTCGAATGCAGCCAGTTCACATGGAATAAGATGGAACATTAAGCAAGAAAGACACACAAATTCAGTTCATTCACCAACCTTTCAGAGTAAAGTCAAAACCTATGAGATATTTCTTCTCTTCTGTCCATAATATTTAAACATAATACAAAAATTACACAAAGCACACTTACATTTCTGAGCTCCATTGAACAGTGCTCTGTCTTTAGGTGTATCTCCAACCTCAATGATTTTAGCTCCAGCCAGCAGCTGCATGATGAGGCCAGAAGTCACGATGGGGGAGATACCCAACTCCATCAGCGTACCTGTAGCAGGTAAACTATTAGACTACAACAACCACAGTAAAACATTAAGCCCATCAAAGAGTAAGCCCCAAACACTGAAGGGAAACATCAGGCTAAACGTCTCATCTGCCACTAGTGTACCGGAGCTGTAAGAAATATTAAGCTAGTAATGGGCCTCTTGCTTCAAGTGGTTGATAACAAAAAGATAAACTCCATGTAAGCAAACATTTTGCCTTGATAAAGCTGTTCCATTTCATGTGCCTTCTAAAAAATGTCACAAAAAGTAGTTCTAATAAAATCTAATCCATTATCAAAGAAACTCATTTAAAAATTCACAAGCAGAAGCTTTAAGTTCCAAGACTTAAAAGTCTGCAAGTACTAGAAAATATCTTATGGCAACACAATAAGGATGGCACACTGATGTAATAATGCTTATACATAAACAGATACTTACCCCTGTTAGAGGCCAGAATGACTCTCATCCAGTAGAATGGATCGGCTGAGTCTGAAGACATGATCCCAAAAAGAGGGATCTGAAAAAGAGAGAATAAGACAAAATATGTGTTAGGGTCAATCAGAACATGCAACTTGGGAGTACATGAAAGTATGTGACCCCTGCAATGGTGAGCTTTTTAAGATACTGACAGTTAAGCCTGACTATAATAATAAAACAATTATACCTGACAGCACACAAGAAAGATGAACAAAGTGATGGCTGTCCATAGCACCTTTTCCCTGAACTGGATCTGAAAGTACAATCACAGCACAAGGAACCGTTTTAAAAGACAATTTACTACACAGTCCTGGCTTATCAGAGACAAAAAAGATAAAAGTACAGTAATATAAATACCTTTCTTTCTGGTTTCTGAATTTCAGGTAAAACCGCACAGAACGGTTTAATCACCTCCAAGAACTTAACTGAAAGCAGAGTAAACAAGGTTGTGAGAAACGACAAAAGGCAGTTGAGCTGATCAATGTATTATGTTGATTAATGAATTTTGACAAATGGAGATAATCAAAAAGAAATGAACATGATCCTTTTATTACTTAAGGCAAGGGTCACCAAGCGGGAGCACACTCCAAAAAACTTCTATACTGTTTGAAGGCTGAGAATAACTGCTTAAACAACTGGAATCAGATGTACTACTGCCTGAACGGAATGAAAACAGCCACAACAGCCTTCGAAGGATAACTGGTGACCCCTGACTTAAGGAGTTTCCTTGAACTCCTAAGCATAAACATCTCGCGTACGCCCCTTGTCGACACAAAATCAGAAAAAAACATTTTCAGACAAGTTTCATTGTATGTACTTGTGTGTTCAATGTGTGCAAGCCAAAGTGGAACGGAAAATGGACTGATTTGTTAAGGTGCTAAAGCCTCGTCATCAGAAGAGAAATTTAGTCAGCGTTAGCGAAGGTCCATAAACTGGCACAAAGCAGAATGGACAACAGTTGACTAATTTCATAGGGTTCATTTCAGTAATATGAACAATGAAAAAGAATACCTAAACCCTGCCTTTTAGTCGAATACAGATATGAAATAAATGTAACAGGACTAATGTTAACTTACCCTATATAGGTTAGCTAGGTGGCTAGCTAGTTCTAAAGCCTTATTCCCAACCCATCTTCCGTTTAGCTTAGCTAAGCTAAACGCCCGACCTGACTTGGGCTGCTTATGTTGCCTACTTTAGCTTAGCTAACATATGTTATTGAATGGTCAGTTATGTCATGCCAGACATTTAACCTAGCTAGCTAACGTTATTAATCACGTCATTTACATTTTTCAAACAGCAAGGTTAACGTTAAGCTGTCCACGCTTACACTGAGCGAGCCAGTTAACGTTAGCTCGTATTACCAGTTAGCCAGCTAGCAAACTTTAAAAAGTAAAATTAAATAAGAAATTAAAAGGTTCAGTGCAAATTAGACGCCTTATAATAAACCCAACGTGGAAAAATAACTAACGTTATCGAGAAAAAGCGAACTTCTACTCTGATAAATTTAATTAAGCCGTCTTCACTGAAAACTAGCTAACGCTAACGTTAGCTAACATTCAATCAATGAATGTCAGTGCATTATCACTCGTAAGCTAGCTGGCTAGTCTGTCCGATAAATCAGAAATATAGTTAGTTATTGGGCATTGCATAAATAAGAAAGTTGGTTAAAGAAGCAGACGCTTCTCCAGCAGCGTTACTCACTAGCCATGGTGTTCTTTCCCGTTAAAGTCGTTGAGAATCTGAGCTCCCCGTGCGGAGCCGCCGGCGCTGTATCACCGCCGCGTTGTGAGAGGAAGCGCTTTAGAGACACGTCAACACTACACGGGCTCTGCTACGTCACTCGGGCCGCTCGAGAACCACCGGCTCTTTCCGACAGGCTCACTGAACGGTACGGTGGGAATCGGCTCACTTGGTTACGCTGAATCGGTTCAACGAGGATTCAATTTGATGTGAAATGTCCTGGCGTATTAATATTTACTCGCGAAAAGCCAGTTTTAGAAAAGCCAGTTTTAGGCAGCGCTATGCGTGAAAACATTGCGATAAAACGCCCAGGACTCGACACAGGGCTTAGTCTACCGTTCCTCTCTCCCACAGTTGTTTTCCACGTAATTGCTGAATAATAACGATGTAATAACAAAGAACGCTGTTGTTCAAAATAATTAAATATTTTGAGAAATAGGCAAATATTTTGAGAAATATTGTTCCTTAGTAATTAATGCTCGACAGTAGAAAAGTGAGATTGAGTGAAGCATGCACAAAAGACTAATATACAGTAAAGAAAAACTGAGCCAAATATCTAAAGAACTGCTCTTTTTGGGGAACGGATCCAAAAGAACCAACTCTCTAAATGACGGAGTGCCTTTCGCTGCAGATGGAATGGCTTCACTGGAAGAGCTTCACTACAGCTAGTAGAGGTGATGCATTTTCACATTTCAAGATGCTAACGTCCTTCTGTCCATCCTACACAACAGAAACCATATAAAATTCAGCGGTGTGGTGTTATTTCTGCATATGACTGTAGTATAATTCTACTGTTAGTTTGGTTTAATGTCCAATTAACTTAATCTGTTTGGTTTGATTCTCACTCACTGTATTTTAAGGTAATGTAAAACACATACTTATTGATTGATGGATTGATTGATTGATGTCTGTCGTTATGGGCGATTAGGGTTATTCATGTTCATGACTACATACTGACCTGTAGAGGACCACCAATTAACAAATAAAGGTCATAATTCAATATGGTGTACAAAGAACACAAGTTTGTTCATTCTCAGTTATAAAAGTGTGTGCAGGCTATTGAACAAGCCATATCTGCCTAATACAGCAGAGCCTGATTGCTTTTCACCAGTGGGTGTCAGCAAAAGCCAGGAGAAGGTGCAGAGCTGAGCTGTTAATCGCTGAAGGGCCCTAATGGACGTCAGCTGTGTGACCAATAGAGTGCAACCAGTTCTCCTTTCTAAAGAAAACTGCTGTCAGGTCAGCTGAGGATAATAATGATTGCATTGCAGATGGCGGAACAGCAATTTTGCAGTTGAGGACAAGCTGATCTCAAAAACACAAAGTCAAGCACTTGATCAGCAGACATTTCTTCAGTAGCCTGCTTACGTACCATTCTCTCTTGTACATGTGTAGTGTTCTGTGGGTGTGTTCTGGTACATTTTAGGCCAGAAATGACAGGGCTAACACTAGGACCAACTAAATGTATAGTGCACTGTAAATAAAGAAATATGAAGAAAACAGTGAATATTATCATTCACTGTGTCTGCATGTAATCTCACTCTCTGTCTGTACAGTCTGATGAAGAATGCTGGTGTTTGTCAGACCTCAAATGTTAAAATTGGAGTATTTCTCTTTGTCTCTTTTGCACTTTCATTTTCTTTTTGCTAAATTTCATTGTCCATCTCTGTCTCTCTCCTTCTTTTTCTCCTCTCATGTTCAACTTCAGTATAACTTCATCAGTATGACTGTGTCTAGTACAGTATTGCCAAAGCAATGTAATAATCACAATAACGGCAACAACTATAGCAAACAGTAACAATAATAACAATATTAATGACTATAATTATAATAAAATCTTATCCTTAAAATCATTTAATTATACAAATTAGAAAAGTAATGATATATTTGTATTTGTTTATACATACATATGGTGTGTAGTGTTGGGGGTCAGAAGGGTGGGGGTATGGGGGGGTGTTTCTGTCTCTCAGGCAGTGACATGTTGTTACATATTTAGCAGTGAAGAGAGCCTTCTCCGAGACTGATTAGTATTTTTTTAACTTATGATAAGTTTTCAAAATATGGGTTCAGCTTTTTAAAATTCTTTATGAAAGTTTTGCATGCCTGTTTGAATTTTTCACAATGAAGAAGAAAGTGCATCTCTGTCTCAACCTCACCCTTCATACAGTGAACACACAGTTTTCTCTCTCTGGGCAGCCTGGAATTTTTATACCTGCCCTTTTCTATGGCCAGACTGTGGTGACTGAGTCTGAACTTTGTCAGGATCTGACTGTGCTTTGTATCTCTTACAGTCAGGAGATTTTAGGACCTGATAACTTTCTAGTTTACATAGAGTTAAAATTTTCTTTTCTCAATATTCAAAATAATTATTCTTGCTGTTTTTAATGACATTATTGATGTTTAGTTGAGGCTGTAGAGCAGTGCTGGAGTGAGACTACTTTTTGTTAGGAGCTGTTAATAAAGAGTTAATCTCTGAGCCAGCTAACTGAGGAAACTCTCTCTCTCTCTCTCTCTCTCTCTCTCTAGTAATCCTTCTCTGTCTCTCTCTCTCTCTCTTTCTGTCTCTGCCTCTCTTCCTCCCTCTCCCTCTCTCTTGTGCAGGTGACTCTTTTATTGTGCTGTGGGTCACAGGGGGGCACACTAGTTAAACTTCATCTAAACTGGGTCACAGTGTCCATCCAGCAGTTCAGCCCTTCTTTCGCTTTCTCCTCCTTCGGGTTACATTGGGCAGAGGCAGTGCCCAAAGGAGGAGAAAGTACATAGTGTACACAGCACTATGTCCATACACAAAAGATGCACAAGAAGGTACCTTTTTGACACCTGTGGTGTTCCAGATAGTTAATGAGAGTGAGGTAAATTCCTCACTCTCATTAACTATATAACATATTATTTTGCATAGTGGATAATTCATAGTAGTTACAGAATAATAAACCCGCAGTTTAAGGAGTTAAATTGACATTTCAGGCATTGCTTTAACACTGTTGATTGGCTTGCTGTTGGCTTGTGTCACATTTAAACACTAAACCACTGCCGCTGCTCTGAGAAAGTCCTAATAACTGATTAATAAGCCTAGGGGTCAAAGGGTAAATTTCCATGTTATCTTATACTCATAATTAAATTACATGGATTACAAGCACCTATTAAGGCCATAAGGATGTGAAATGTGTGATTAACCCAGGTCAATAAAATGTGCGTTACTAATCAGTTTGATCAAGAGATGAAAGAATGGAGAGATTGAGGAACTCTCTCTCTTTACCCCATGCATGTTTCATGTTAGTGTCAGGAAGGAAGAAACTGTAGTGAGTAACACATGTACACGTACAGAAGCAGGTGAACTTTTGGATGCAGCTGACTGAATGTCTGTTCTTCGTAAATGCTCATGCTAAAAAGATTCAAACTTGACAATGTCAGACATAAATAGTGAAGTGTATATATATATATATATATATATATATATATATATATATATATATATATATATACATCTCACAGACCCATATTTTATTCACAGTAGAACATAGAAGCACCCGGGTGCTTCTTCTGCAAAGCCATGCTGTTGGGATGGATGCAGTATGTGGTTTAGCATTGTCTTGCTAAAATATGCAAGGCCTTGCCTGAAAGAAACATTGTCTGGATGGGAGTGTGTGTTGTTCTAAAACCTCTATATCGCTACTGTCAGGAGAAAACCTTGTATCTCCAAAATGATAACTTTATAGAAGAAGGAAAAAAACCTACTTTACTTTTAATGTAAATCAATGGAACTAGACTTTTTTACAAGTAATTTTGGGCCGTTTCTTTTGGTCCATTCTTCATAAAATTTACACACAATATGAAAGGCTACAGGCCTTTTCAATTTATGTCAAAAACTGAAAAACGACAAAAATGGAGATACAAGGTTTTCTTCTGACAAGAGTGATATACTGTTCGGGATTGATAGTGCCTTTCCAGATGTGTAAGCTGCCCACACCATAGGCATTAATGTAACCTCATACCATCAGAGGTGCAGGCTTTTGAACTGTGCACTGATAACAAGCAGGACACGGCGTCTGTGGTTTCCAAAAAGACTTTGATTTTGATTCATTCGACCACATAACAGTTTTTCATTTTGCCTCAGTCCATTTTAAATGAGCTTTGGCCCAGAGAATACGGCGGCGTTTCTGGATTGTGTTGATATATGGATTTTTCTATGCATGATACAGCTTTAACTTGCATTTGTGGATTGTGCAGCAAACTGTGTTCAGAGACAGTGATTTCTGGAAGTGTTTGTGAGCCCATGCAGTGATTTTCAGTACAGAATCATGCCTGTTTTTAATGCAGTGCCTCCTGAGGGCCTGAAGATCACGAGCATCCAATAGTGATGACGTTGTCCGTTGACATTGTCCCTTGCATACAGGGATTTCTCCAGATTCTCTGAATCTTTTGATGATATTATGTACTGTAGATGATGAGCTATCCAAAGTCTTCGCAATTTTATGTTGAGGAACATTTTTCACAGATTGGTTAACTTCTGCCCATCTTTGCTTCTGAGAGACTCTGCCTCTCTTAAATACCCAGTCATGTAAGTTAGTTGCATATTGCTCCTCCAGTTGTTTTTTATTAGTACCACTTACTTTTCCAGCCTTTTGTTGGCCCTGTCACAACTTTTTTGAGATTCGTTGATGCCATCAAGTTCTAAATGAGTTAAGGTTTTTCATGAAATGTCTCACTTTCACATTTATCTACATTTTTCAGGAGACTTGATTTCAGTTTTTCAAAGAAATGTGCAGGGATATTTTTTCACACCTCCAAAGTTCAGTCTTAGAAATTGGGTGTATTTTCTGCTTCTCAAGATCCAAGTAATCTCACACACATTTAATGATGTTGAGGTCTGGACTCATAGTGTTGATTTGTCTTCTCACAGTAGAAGATGGACAATAACACCTGTGAGTTTTTTCAGATCTGAAGTAAGAGTGGAGCTTGACTTTCTCCTCTCTCTCAAAGATGAAACTATTAGGTACTGTTTATCTGATGGTGCCAGTTTTGGTGGTCTACCAGGGAATCATTACACAAAGCAAGATTTCTCAGTTAGCCAGACAACTTAAGCCCAAAGCTGAGG